ATTTTTAAAATTCATTATGAATGCAGAGACATTTCTGATCTTGTGAATGATTTGCTTTTATTTTTTTTTATCAGATTTGATTTTCTAATTTAATACGTAGAAAAGTTGAGTTTCACGAATTATAAGCGTGAAATACAGTAGCCTTAATTTTGTCACATATTATATAAATTTTAATTAGGTAAATTGACTTTTTATATAATAATATTAAAGTTCGAAAGAATATTTTTAACCTACAATAAAAATTTTTACGCATAATGAAACCTCATTAGTTTTCCTTTTTTATCAACATTATTTAAATTTTTATTGTCTGGAGCGGGAAGGAGCAGAGTGGAAAACTTATTTATAGCCTTACTCTTATGAGTCCAGCTCTTGCTCTTGTAATTATTATAAACCTATCGCCAGTAGAAACTTTAATCTTATAATTGAAGATAAATAAGTTGATTCCTAAAATACGAAAATTGAAATTTTAATAGTGCTGATGGAATGATACTTGAAAAAGTTAGAACAAAAAACGGGACGATTAAACATTTACATGTATACTAATATAAAGCTATGAAAACATGTTGCTTAAAATAAATACAGGACCCTGAAACACAGTATTCATAGATCAGATTATTATTAAAAAAAAAATAAAGCGGGCAGTTTCGAAAACTTAACCTGATTTATTTATGAATATTTTTCAGGGTCCTTTAACGCGTACCATAATTCTCGAAATAATAGCTGGGCGTTATTTCAAAAGTCGCACTCTTTAAAAAATAGTTTAGCGCGTCTCAAAAATAACGCGCATTCATATCAGTGGATTTATATGATTTTCCCATAACGATAATTCCTACAATGCTAACTCTAAATCTAGCTGTAAGGCCATCGCTGGAAAAATCAATCCTTTATCTCGAAATAACGCACACGGGCGTATTCAAAATAACACCGTTATTTCGAGAATTTATGATACATGTTTTATTAGCGCGTATATTTAAATATATAATAAATTTTGATATTTTTGGTTTCAAATTTAAGAACCTGATACATCCTACTAAACGCCGCCGTTCTATTACTAGGTTTAGCAGCTACTGTAGATGTAAATGTTGTCCTTGACAAGTTTATTTATTGTGTAATATGATTTACTTAATAAAATACATCTTTCACATTTAGCGAAATGAGTTATTGTCTAGAGCATAGTGAAGAACTCACATTTAGATATTCAGTAAAGTAGTAAGCATATAAGATACTCGTAATTTTACGGAAAATGAATCTCTATACAATATAAGAAACGAATTTAGCGATATTATTTACAAAAACAAATGTTACTTATATATTTTAATACTTTAGCAACTCGATACTATATGTTACTACCTTTGGTCTATATTATTAATTATATAGCATTATATATCATATTCTACACTTAATTCGGTAAATAAATCTTGTTAAGTTTTTATATTGCTTAATTCATTATAAAACAGTTTTTAAGGTTCTAACAAAAGATGTTCTTTGCAAAATTTTAGCATAAACTATAACTCTTCCCAATTACCCTTACACTAATCTTAAACTAGATTAATTATATTACATGTATAAACACTATGTGTAATTTATAAATTTCCTAATAATAAAATATCAAAATAAAATAAATATACTGTTACATATGAAATGTCAGAATTCATTCTTATAATGTCATTTAAGTGATGAATTAAACATATTATTGATTTAATAATCAAAGTTTTAACTGAATATCATAATGCTTTTGATATTTGCTTAGCATTTAATAAGTTTCCTCACGAATTGCTTTATCAAGTACAATTTCTAGTATCTGTTAATGCCTCAACCATAAATTTTTCTCAAATCTTTAAAGCAGTTGTCTCACATATTTTCCGTTCCGAAATAGTCCTCCACGAATTTTTTAATAAATATGTTAACAATCTTTCATACGCCTTTGCTTTTGTATAGATTATTCCTGTTTCCTTTTTCGATCAGATTATTTTCCAATGATTTTATACTTCATCATATTCGTTCATTTTAAATATAATCCTCCGCAAGTCCTAAAGCAAATGCATTATTTAGTTTAATTTCCTGTGATTTATTTAAATCTGTAAGTGACCCGTTATATTTCATTATAAAAAATAGTTTTGCACGAACTATTAATGCAGATACTTGCTCTATTTTATTAAACTATTGTTATGCGGGAAAATGGTTTGCCGGGATCCCCCTGTAGAAAATATCTAAATCTACATTACATTATGTAACATGAATTATGCACATGGCGCATCTCTGGTACAGGTACAGTAGAATGCCAGTGTCGATCAAGAAATTTATTAATACTTCGATGCATCACCACATCATGTTTAAAAAATATATTACCGAATCATGGGTAAAGCTTTATTGATATTTATATTCGTGATATATACAATGAAATGCACATTAATTTCGGAATTTGTAAGGAATAATTGCTTGAGTTGACGCGATAAACATATATGTATTTTAATGCATATACGATGTTAAAATATCAAAGATGGTTCCTATCACTATACTATATAATGGGACCATATCCTTCTCTACCTGAGCCTTATACAGTACGTCTGCATATTCTTTTCGATCAATTTGTTGAAAAACAAGGGGTGGAAAACCACCACGAGCAAGATAAAGCGCCATGAGTGAGCGTCCAACACGTCCATTGCCATCGTATAATGGATGTATATGAAGGAAGGACGAAAGTATTCGACATGCGTTCATAAGAGGGTGGATTTGATATGGTTCATTATCATCAACATTATCGCTGGTGACGGTCTTGTTGTAAAATTGTATGAACCTTTCCATCAACACGGGCACTTCCGCTCCATACTACAAACAGGGATTAATAAACTAAATTTACTGGATAAACGGTCAAATGATAACCTACTGCCTGCATTGACACGGTTCGAAACATTCCTGCGTGCTGGATTTTGCCCCATACATCAATTCTTTCCTGTGGAGCATCTTTCAAAAGAGTACGATGGATCTTCTTTATAAACTCGATGTTTATTTCTTGTTCTGACTTTAGCAAGGTAATGTATAAGTAATGGGTCGCAAGCAAGTGATTACGGATTTCAACAACTTCAATCTCATTTCCAGGTTTATCAAGAAGAGATTTCGGCTCGGGTAATTGTGCTTCCTCATGTTGCAAATCGTCAATGTTATAGTCTTGGTTCATTTTTTCCCAAATGATTTGTGACTCTGCACCTCCTAGTGAATTTCCCTCTATGATGCAACTTTGATGCGAAAAAATTTACAATCATACGTTGAAGAAGATCTTTAGCCGGAATCTCGATAGTGTCTTTGATGGCAGATATCTCATCCAGAAAACTGGAGTTTTTTGCGTAAAAGTCTATCGAGGAA